ATCCTATTTTACCAATTTCTTTAGGAACTACTTACATGGTCAAACCAATTTGTTCCACTGTTTCAAACAAATATTGAAAACAGTCATTCTAAAATTAAGATTATGAAACAAGTCATCAAAACCTATCAAGACCAAAAACGTAATGAAAGAGCTCTATTAAATTTTATGGGCACAGGCCACATCACAAAAATGGCCCTACGGAATCATAGATGCTGAAGACGGCGCAAGATATAATTCTTATATCCAGACGCTCAATGATAATCAAAACACTCTCAATGAAGATCTAAAAACACAAGCTTATGTATTGAAACAAGTTACAAAAACGATCAATTTCTAACTATTGAATCTAAAAATATTTCTTTGGAAAACCAAAATTTCCACTCAATGTTAACCTTTAATCTAATATTGAACAATATCAATATTGAAAGTAATAAAATAAGGAATCTTATTGATCATGTGCAATTAGCAATAAATTTTACCTACTAGCGTGCGGTAAAGTGCACTTTACCGCACGTATTTGCAAATGGAAAGTATCACTTTACCGCATAGTGTGCGGTAAAGTTAACTTTACAGCATAGTATGCGGTAAAGTAGAATACAAAGTGTGCGGTAAAGTGCACTTTACCGCATAGGGTGCGGTAAAGTAGAATTTGATATTTATAATCAAAAATCCTCTCTTTTCCAGAAAATGGATTTTTGATCATTTCTAAATCTTACCTAATTTCATTAATTAATCTGATTCATTAATTAATTTTATCAATGCCTTTTTTTGGAGATGTAGATGCTCATAGGTAAAATTTTGTACCTAACACATGCGGAAAGTGCCTTTACCGCATGGCAAATTATAATATTTTTTGACGCAGATACATCAATGCAACCGAGAATGAACAATATTTTGCAAGATTTTAGTCAAATATCCAAGAACTTACCATTAGGAATAAGTACCCTTACCTATTACTTACTACGGACATTTACTACAATACTTTATGGGAATGCCCGAAAGTCGGAAATGTGTATCTTTGTAACCAAGAAGAGCTGAAGCAAGAAAAATCATGTATCTATGACCTGATTACTTACCTACCACAACAATGTCCTTTCACTAAAGTGAAATAGGAGAAACCAACAGTGAGACAACTCCCGAGTGAATAACTATTAGTCATCCCTAAGAAAAGTCTGACGATAGTTATTCAATGTGACAAGACAAACCATATGGAAATTATAACCAATCCAACACTAGTTTCTTTTGAGAAATGCTTTGTGAAAATACAGATCAAACATTTTCAAAAACCAGCAAGAACTTCAAGTTTCAACTGAAGATTCCAAGAATAGACATTCCTGAACTTCCAGAGAATGAAACAACATTGGAACTTCAAGAAATCAATCAAGAAGACTTAGAAGAAGCCTTCAAGACGACGAAACAGATTAAACGAAAAAGTTTAAAACTTCAGAAAAAGGTTGTGCAAATGTGCAAATTGATTGTCTGATTTGAATTCACAACAATCCACGTTTGCAACATCATCAGGAGGGAGGAGTTATATTAACCAATTGCCATGCTGATTTATAATCAAATATCCATTTTTTATATGCTTTAATGTGCTTACCCCTTTCCTCTATGACATTTTAAATACATTGTTGTAGAGTAAACATCAAATTGCTATGTCGGCATTAAATTCCTATTTAAGCCAGGGCACTCCCATAAGGAACGTTCATTTGTTTTCAGGCTTTTGCTGTAGCAATTTGATCCACATATTTTCTTTTGTCACCTCTGTATTTTAATCAATAAAATAAATGTTTTTTAAAATACAAGTTACTGAATCGAAAATATAATTTGTACACCAAATGAGTCAATAAAGAATGAGTCAGGTTTGTAGTAATGGTGTAATTTTTTATTAAATCCGACCGAGCGCTTTCGACCTAATTACAGGTCATTTTCAGGATCAGTTGCGGTTCTAAGAATAATTAGAAGATGTTACATAAAACATTAAAAGAAAAGAATTAATAATCAGCTGACTAACTCCTCGTCAATTAGGGTTTATATATAAGGCATCCAGGCGAACTTGAGAGCAACAAATGCATAGAATATAGATTAAGTCTTTATGATACGTTTTTTTTTTGTAATGTTTTATGTAACATCGTCTAATTATTCTTGAACCGATCTTGAAGATGACCTGTAATTAGGTCGAAAGCGCTCGGTCGAATTTAATAAAAAATTACACCATCACAAACCTGACTCATTCTTTAGTAAATATAAATACCAGCGACCTCTTCGAAATTCAGCCAACGTCAACCAGTGATTTTTAAGCACCCGATCAAATATAGCGGCAATACAGGTCACAAGGGTGCGAACATCAATATCCTATCTTTGAATATCTAATCTATCAGAAGCAAGATTGGCGAAATAGAAGAACTATTATTACACGAACTAAGCTATCCCGAAATATTGTGTTTCATTGAGCATTGGCTCACAGAGAGCGAAATACAAGACTATAAAACAATATCACTCTCTACACCAGGTTGAATAGTGCACATGAAGGTCATGGAGGATGTGCTATTATGGTAAACCATGGTCTCAGGGCGACTGAAATCAACATTTTCGCCAGTCTAAACATAGAAAAAACGTTTAAGTGTACATACATCGTCAAAAATCATCGATGTTACTTTGAACATAATAAATATCTATAGGGCACCCAGTGGCGACGTGAATCAGTTTTGTTCCAACCTGTATGAAAAATGTATCAGCCTGCCAAAGAAATCAAAAATAATCGTCGCAGACGATTTCAATATCAATTACCTAGAAAATGGTCATTCTACCAATCAACTCAAATGTTGTCTGTAAGCGTGTGGAATAAAAATGCACCTTAGAACAGAAGCCAAAATAGCCAAATCATCGTCTACCCTAATCGGTCATTTATCCACAAATCTACCAGGACGTAAAATATCAGTAGAAATACACACAACCGACTTGTCCGATCATGAACTTATCATCGGCAAAATGAACAGCCCCATTCAGATTGAAGATAAAATATCAAAAACTAGACAAATATTCAGCACCAAAAGTTACGGAGCCTTTTGCAGGCATATAAATGGTGTAGATTTGAATCGTGCATTAAACAAAGAAGGCAGCATATTTGATAGCTTCTATGAGATATTACTACAGGCATTTAACGCAAACTACAAACCAAAAGCCAGAACGACTAGGACCACTGAAAAAAAGTTATGGATAACAAAGGGGATCAAGATCTCAGCAAAAAATAAACGATTACTCAATTACCTCTGCAAGTTCTACACCAGCAGCGATGACCTGCAAGAGTACTACAGAAGGTATAAAAATATTGTTAAAAAAATTGTCAGCAAGGCTAAAAGTCTACATTACCTGACAGTGAAATGTAACAAAATTGTAACGTTTGTTTGTATTCATTGTTTTTTTTTGTTTTTGTTATATTAATGTAACTTCTTAATATTGCTGATGTTTACCTATATATTTGTACCTTTTTTTAATATGTAATTGATGACGTAATGCTTATTGTCCTAATAAATCTATCTAAAGTATGTTTTTTTTTTAAAAGATGAAAGTTAAAATGACATTATGTTGGCAATACAATGAAAAATTGTCAATGCTTTCAAATTTTTTATGTAGAAAAGGCTTGTGTTGCCAACATAGTTACTAAATTTTTGACTTGGGGAATTATCTTTAAAAAAAAACAGACTTTATCTATTCGTTATAAACTTCTAACCAAATTATTTTAATCAGTTCATTAGCTTTGCAGGCGGAAAAAACTCATTCATACTTTACTAGAAGCATGCAAGAAGACTATCACATGAACAGTGAGTTTTATTTGAATGAGTTAACAACCTTTCTCCAGTTTTAGGGAGGTCGATTCCAAATGTAGAATTTTTGTTAGTCCTGACTGAGGATGACCCAGATAATCCAAACTAATAAAGTAGGTTAAAACCATAGATTTACATCGATTAAAGGGGATTAACCGGTCGGTCATAGTTGACATATAACTAGAGAAGGGCATATATGCAAAGTACATATTTTGCATGTTTTATGCATTTTAATTTCATTTTGCATATTTCTTTGAAAACCTGCAAATAGTGCATAAAATGTATCAAATTTGGACAAAAGGCTTGAATGAAGCAAAGAATTTTTAAGTATTTAACCATTCAGATTGCTGCTGTTGAGCAGGTAGGTAATTATCGAAAAACCCACTGTGAAGGATCCTTCACTGAGCCAAGTTATGAAAGTTACACCACTGTACATACTGGTGATTTAAAATTAAAACCTAATTTAATCGTTAACTAGGTACTACCCGAGTACCTAATTTGGGACCCACTTGCCTAGAAGTAGAGCAATAAATATTTATACTATTGATTTTTGAAGAGGTCCATATTCTTTAAAATCGTGATTTTATTTTTGGGGAAGAGGTTTTTGAAAAATTCAAAATTGTTTTAGCAAAACAGTTACCAATTTATTTCCAAATAAGTATCAGACATTTTTCGAAGCTTTTCATTTTTTCCGTACATACCGATAGAAGGCAGAGATTTTTGCTAGAATATTTAATTTTTATTGTTTTTACAACTATTAATTTATATTGGTAATTAATTAGGTACTTTGTATGTATTATATGTATCATCAAAAATCCAGGTGTTTATTTTTTCAAATTTCCTAATGCATATTTTCAAAAATACTTGCATATTTTGAATAAAATATATGCATATATATGCGCATATTTCTTATACTTTTATATGCATATTTGCCCTTCTCTACATATAACCAATGAAACAAATTTCATTTGTCAACCAATCGGTATTAAATGACGTTAAATGCATTGTTCATTTGTCAATATAACCGACTGGTTAATCGCCTTTGATTGACCTTAGTTAAAACTATAAAAGAAGATGAGAAACTGACGGATCTTTACTTACCTGACAAACTAATTACTAACCGGAATAATTTAACTAAGCTAAATCCTTATAAAAAGAAAATAAGAACCTTACGGTCTGTTGAGGCCAAGAGTTCTGCTTTTGTCCACGAGTGTTCTGTTAGAAGCACTGTTAAGTAATAGACTGCATGTTGATAAGGTTGTTCGGCTGAGAAATTTTTCAAATTCCTAATGTACTGTAAAATAAATGTATTCCATTAATTTTTTGTATTCTTGCCATAGAAAAGATGACCCTATGACCTTATGAAACCAGACAAGTAGAAGATATTTATTGGTCCAGCTGCTCAGAAATTTAACTGCTATCCAGTTTTATTTGAATAGTGATCAAACATCTACAACGCGATTGCTATTCCACTACCCATTATGTGATATTACTATCACTATGACTAAGTGAAGAAAATGTTTCTATGATGAAAGCAATATGGTCAAATCGCCGATTTGAATTGAATGCCATTGGTATGAATTATTATTGAAAAAAATACAGAATTGTGATGGCCCAAGCATTTTTTTTAAAAAGTTTCATGAGTTATTGGTTGACACCCTATTGTCCAATCTCTTTCAGGTCAATAGGCAAAACTTACATTTTCTTTCCAAATATTAAATCGTTTTGGATCAATTTTAAAATTAGTAAGCCTCTCCATAATTTTCTCCAATAAAATATGCAGTTTATTATTATACCCACAAAGCCCGAGCTAAAAACGAGATTATAAGCAACTAAAAATTCAACAGAAACGAATCCTCACAATCAAGCCATATTTAGTATTGATCAATTCCCATTTCAATCCGGCCAATTCAGCTGCATAAGCGTATTCGTTGAGAGCGTCGCGGAATAATTGGACAAACATGTGAGTCAAATTACAATTTAAAGGATCGAAATAGGCCATGGGGCTGACAAAATCAAACATGACGTTCGCTTTTGGTAGCAAGAATTTATCATCTTGTTTGAACCAGACACGGGTTAAAGGGGTGTCTTGAATTATAGCTGGATATTCGGTAACCTGAAATTGGTTTCAGAAATGTTGCACAAGTTCTATTTATGTATTTCTAATCTTACAGTACTATCTAGAGGATATAAATCAAAATCCTTTGGTATGAATTCGTTTCGCTCTGGTAATTTAAATTCTTGGCATAATCCCGAGTCTTTCCACTCCTAAAAACAAACGGTCGTAAATTTAATTTTAAGTTCCTTTTGTTCGGTATTAATAACCATAGATTTCCAGACTACAATCGATTTGGTTTTGGCAAGACTTTTACCTTTAATACTTCCTCTGGAATGTTTTCTAGCTTGAATTTCGTGCCGTACCATGGTTCAGTTTCTGTGCAAATACTTTCGTGTGCCTTAGCAACTACAGATATCCTGTGAGGGTTAAATAATTTAATAGAAAAATTTACTACTTATCGAAAATTTTAACTTTTTCAGCCAAAAATTTTTAAATAGGAAGAGTTCAGTTGTACATAAGACACGCGAATTTTCAATTTGCTGCATCTGTTATATTGTTTAGTTTTAATTTTTTTTAAATTACATCAAACGTTATACCTAACACATTTTCTGTTACTCACCTAACTTTATCTGGAACAAATTTGTCCCATACATGCTCAATAAGATCCGGCCTCCATTCGTTTAACATATAATGAGCACACAGAACATCTTCTAAAGGATAATACTAAAAATTTCCAAAAAGGCTAATTTGAAAATATGTCCCTGTCCAATTCTTACCTGAAGACTATTTACAATATTAGAAATATAACTCCTAGGCGTCTCTTTATCTTTGAATCGGAAAATCATATTACCAATGTCTCGATTTTCATCTTGCACCCACTTTTGGGGTTGTTCCTTTTTAAGCATATTCAGGTACTGAAAATTTAAAAAGCATCTATTGTATTTTTTTTCACTTCAGTCAACCTATATAACTTGTTAGAGCCATTGCTGAATAAATTACAATATTTATAATAAAAGTTAACACAGTCACAAGTAGAACCTAAGAAGCTGTGACCTAAGATTGGGATTAATAATACACATAACACAACATTAGCAAGAGTAAAAAATTTAATTTTTGAAGAATATTGAAATAGACAATAATATTTAAAAGAACGCTTTGACGCTCAATATTGAGATACAGCTGAAATTGCAAATTTTTTTAAACAAAAATTTTGAGGTGAGGACATTATAGGTTAAAATATGCCCAATAAAAGTTATCAACAGCTGCCGCGTTTCAATTAAGAGGAGGAGAAATTAATAGTAGAATCTGGTGAAAGAAACACCAAAAATTAAACCAAGTCCTTCGGTTTGCGATATGTGAAAACCATACAAATACAAAAGTTTTAAGTACCTTATACCCTGCTGGGATCCCTCTCTAACAGTTTATGTGCGAGCCGAAGTGCGAACACTGGTAACTACCCGTCTCCTTTTATTCAGGAAAATTTATTCTTTTGACCGACTTATCAAAGTTGATTTGCCAACTTGCGAACCTTGATTTAATTCGAACCCGTAGTTGTTTCCTTTTGATGGCGCTAGTCGCGCGCATCCACCCAAGGTACCAGTTTTTTTGAACTTGTATAGTATGAAAATCTTAGTAATAATCTCGATATTTTGACTTGCATGAACACCCTCTTTGTATGATGTCAAAAACAAAAGTTACAAGGGCATAGAATTAAAAGAAAATATATATGGAAAACTATTCATCATCATTCTCAATATTGTCAACTAGCTGCTTAGGAAAGGAGGACCCGGTATTCGACCTTATTAATTTAATTGCCGATTCGATCGGATGTTTATTGCAATTCAGCAATAAACGCATATAAATTGCGCTGCAAGCCGCAGTAAAGGCAAACAAACCAGTGCAACTACCTCTTGTTGGGAAAGCCCCTCTGGAATTAAGTCTCCCCAGTGTAAGTACCTCTCGTTGGGAAAACCCCTCTGGGTATCTTCGGCCTTATCGTTGTCCAGTGCAATTACCTCTCGTTGGGAAAGCCCCTCTGGACAAGGCATAAGGGTGACGATAACAAATCGACAGTCCCCAAGCACCGTTGACGCGCGGCTCCCTATAAGGACCCCAGTGTTCGAAGGGTCATGCATCTTATAGGACTAGTGTATATGTAAGGGTATATTTGGAAAATATATACAGGGTGAGTTACTAAGCGCGCGGTGGTCCATATCTTCTATACTAACGGATATCGGAGAAAAAACTAAATACAAAACTTGTAGATAAACATGAGTACTACATTCCTAAATTATTTTCCAGTATACAGGGTGGCCCAATAACTAGTACTGACACAAAGTTATGTTTTTCTAAATGACTCCTCCTGTATATTATGACATTTCTGGATTCTGCGGAAAATTCTAGACATATTTCATGTACAATGTCACATACCTATCTTCAACTGTTTCGGAAATATTGACAGTTGAAAACTGACTTCTTTGCATCTTTAACAGACTGTAAAACCTGAACGGTTAATTTTACAAGAAAACGGATTTCACATTCCTATCTTAGTTTTTCATAAACTATCATTTGGCACCAATCTTGAATTTAATCCATGATTAAAAATTCTGCCTAAATTATTAATCTTCGGTTAAATCTTCAAAGTTGGTGTCAAATGATAGCTTATGAAAATCTAAGATAGGAATGTAAAATCCGTTTTCTTGTAAAATTAACCGTTCAGGTTTCACGGTCTGTCAAAGATGAAAAAAAGACAATTTTCAACTGTCAATATTTCCGAGACAGTTGAAGATAGGTATATGACATTATACATGAAATATGTCTAGAATTTTCCGCAGAATCCAGAAATGCCATAATATACAGGGAAGGTCATTTAAAAAAACATAACTTTGTGTCATTACTAGTTATTGGGCCACCCTGTATACAAGTTTTGTATTAAGTTTTTTCTCCGATCTCTGTAAGTATAGGAGATATGGACCACCGCGCGCTTAGTAACTCACCCTGTATCTACTTTTTTATTTAACTCGAGCGAGTTTCTCTACATCGACCCCCAAAGTTACAAACCCCCCCATGTCACCCCCGTAAAGCGGGCAGTTGTGACATATTTGGTGGAGGTGCCGTCTCGAAACCGACGCCTTTAAAGAAAGCCAACGTCCAAACACATCACGACGCGGTACGTCGACAAACGGTACCGTGACGAAAGCACACAAGCGAAATTCACGACACCGTGGCGCAGGTGAAGAAAAGACACGTAGATTTAAAAACTAGTGTTGGCCACAGAACTAGAAGAATAAATTTTGACCGGTTTACCGTCGCCATCGTGGCAAGAATAGATGCCAGACAAACCCAAATACAATTTGAGGCCAAAGAACGCAGCAGCAACGACACCAGTAGAGTTATTTAGACCCCCCCATAAGAGCACAGAATTAGAAAACGCGCTCTTTCTGCCGAGAAAATCATTGCAAAGATCACCACCAGAGTCGCCCAGTATCAGTTTAGAGCAGATTACCAGTGAGATAGAAAACCAAGCAAATAATCAAACAGGCTACGAAAAAGACAGTTTTTGGTAGCCCACCAGACCTTACCCTTCAAGAAGCACCAAAACCCAAGCAACTATCAAAAGAGGAAGTAGAACAACCGGATATAATGACGAATACCACAATAACTGACGCTATGACAGCGGAGAAACAAGCAAAGTTGCCTCAGTTTATCAGCCCTCAAACCTCCCAGCCGTGTAAAACCAGCGCGATCGAGTTCCTAAGAACATATGACAGATCAGCAATAGCAAATGGGTGGGACGAAAAGCTGAAAATTGTTTATTTTGAAACATATTTAGATGGAGCCGCAAACCTGTGGTTTCAGGAATATAAGCACGACCACCAAAACAACAGCTGGAAAGACATTGTCAAAGATTTTTCAGAGGAATTTGACGATACAGATTACCAAAGGGCACTCAAGAAAAAAGTCGAAAACAGAAAACAAGGTCAAGACTTGTACGATTTACAAGTATTATACCACAATTACACACATGTTGGAAACAATATTCCAACAGTAAATTTAAAATTCAAATTTTAATTTTCCCGGTATGCACCGGAAGTGTGCGCGTATGTGTCAAACAGTGTCAAAAATCACTTGTCAAAGTTTTTGGTAAAGTGGCTTCCGGCATCTACGCGAGTGAACCAACGGGAACAGTCAGTGTCGAATCGAACCTCACCGAGCGCACCAGATAATTCTGGGCAGGTCCTATATGACCATTTTTACAGACTCTATAAGTCTAAAAACGAGAAAATGCAAATTGTAAATAGTGTAAATAGTCGTGTGTGTAAATAAATGTAAATATATTAATAATACAGTCCACTCTCATTATTTTAAAAAATCCAACAACACATACATTTGATATACAAGAATTTGTAAGGATTTTTAGCAAAGGGTTGACGGAAGCAAATCATTACAATTACTACTGGTTAACAAACCCGCCGAACAAGCCACCAACGGCACCAACATCACTTATACAATTAAAAGAAATAGCAGACACGATAGACCAAGCTCCAAAGAAAAGTGCAATGCAAGATACCCAAATTACCAGCTGTACGAAAAGAAATACAATCACAGACACAGAACTAAAGATATGTCATTATTGTGGAAAAAGAGGGCATGTAATGGCCACCTGCAGGAGCCGAATGTAAGGAGAACACACAAGCACAAGAGTACCAATATCTAGCCAAACGTGTTATACTTGTGGGAAAACAGGACATTTCGCAGCCGTATGTAGGAGCCAAAAGATGAGAAATCATAACTTCAACTCAAAAATTGCTACCGTTTGTTACAACTGTGGGAAAACAGGACATACTGCAACAGTATGTAGAAACTAGCCTCAAAGGAATAAATCGTATACGCCACAAAACAACAAAACAATCCTGGTTGCTCTGTTTGTGGAAAACAGGGTCACTATGCAAACACCTGTACAACCCGACGACAAAACCCAAACGAGAATGGATGGCAAAATTAAAAGCCCCTGCAATCCTTACCCTGGGGAAGCACAATAACATAGGAATCTTGCACATCAAAATTAAATTAAATAATAAGTACATGTCAGCAATCGTGGATACAGGAGCACAAGATAGCGTTCTACAAAGAAGTCTAATCAAAGAGGAACTAACAAAAAATGATGACACGGTTCTAGTCACTGCAGGAGGACACCAGATAAAAGTTTTGGGAGACATTGAAGTTCCGATAGAAATACCAGGAAGTTAAAAATGGAAGAGCAGACTAAACGCCAAAGTGATTTCATCATTAACTCAATCAATAATCCTAGGTATTGAGTTTTTGTCAAAAAATAACGCGATCACAGATCTCCCACGGAAAAAGCTGATTCTGAATGGTCAGCATGAAATACCCCTAAGACAAATGAATAACGAAAAAATCAACATGTCAGGTCTGAAAGTAAGAAGAAAGGGATAAAAGTCAGTGAAAGATTTAGCTTTCTATCTATAATAGAAAAAAAGTTATGACCTTTCAAAGTTTTCCAAAAAAATCATACCTTCTTACTAAAACGACGAAATTTCAAATTTTTTTTTTGTCGAGATTTTGCGTCTCAATGGTCCCTCGTGATACCCTGAACTCCATAAACTAAATTATTCTCAGATTTGAAGCCGAAATCTATGAAAAAAGGCACTCAGAAAAATTGAAAAATTGATAAATCACCCCAATTGCTTAACACGATTTTATCTCAGGAACTATAAGTGCAAATGAGCTGAAATTTTCAGGGATTGTAGTCCTTTGGAAGGGATAAAAAAAAAAGTTATGAACTTTCAAAGTTTTCCAAAAAAATCATAAGGGGGGTACATACTACACATATCAATATAATCAACACAAAAGAGAGGATTCTGAAAAACTATTCAAACAAAACGAAAAAAACAAACAACTACTGATCTAGAAAGAAAAAGACGTAATAAAATAGGATAGGGCATACTTTGAAACATCTTGAAAATACCTTACGGATTGAAAAGAGTCATCAAAAGATTATCAAGTAAGTAAATCTCTATACTAAGAGTAAAATAAGAACATATACGACAGCAATTAGACGCTTCCAAGATACAGCAAATAATGATGAGAACACGGGAAATTAAAATGATTTGAAGCATTCATGGAAAAGAAAAATATATATCCATCTAATTAAAGTCACGAATCCAGGAACGTCCACCTTTGGACATCTACTTGCCCTTTATCAGTAGTTGCTGTAATTTAGTCAAAGCCCTAATTAATTGTTCATTTGAAAGGTTTAAAAATTATATTTATACTAATTTTCAGTTTGTTCATGATGGGCTTAAATTTAATCATTACTGAGTAACCCTGGATATTTTAATTTTACGTCGCACACTGTTGCTAAACAGTTAAAAAAATATGTCACTGCTCATTGAAAAGTTACTTATTTTGTCTAGCTTAAAAATCAATGTGATATTCATCACAACCAAAATTATTACGGGAGGTTTCCCAACAAGATTTCTTAAAATAAACTCAAATCATTCAAGGACGATTCCCCTTGTTAAAAAAAAAAAAATTAAAATGTTAACATACCTGAAACACCAATTTAACAATATCATTAACATGTTTCATGCCCTCTTCGGTCAAGTCGACGGATATTCCAAAAAAGCTAAAACCTCTTGAATTTGTCCTTTGGCCTGCAACCAAATGGTTCGACCAACCTCTGGTTTTTAGGGCTGATAATATACTGCCAGGCCCTTCGTGACCCATTAGGTGACTTATGTAATTTGGAGGCTAAAAAAAAATATTTTGGTGTCATTATACAAATTTCTAGCAGAAACTTGGCATAAGATGCACTAAATACTTATTATGGTCCATTATTAATACATCTCAGATACCTTAATTATCTAATTTAACAAATTGGCACAATATCAAACTATTGTCGTTTTACCGTTATATAATCTTTAATTTTATGGATTATGCACTTTTGAATAATTAACCTTTGTTTCTATTACAATTTTGGCAGGTGAAATTGGAAAAAGCCTAGATAATGGATTTCCTGTTTTTGTTAATATGTACCTACTCAAATAGGTACCTAATTTTTTTGTGTAGTATGTAGTCAGAGTGTTCTAATTTTATAGAATCTTTTAGTTTCAAGATCCACATGTATGTAATTCAAACCATCTCATTAAATTCAAGTTATCTTAATTAGAATCGACCGACTAAAAGCTAATTAAGACACGGTAATAATTTTGGCTGCAGGAATGCAATAATTAGCTCACAAACGAGTATATGCTGGCGATTTTCGAAAAAAAAAAAAAAGTTGTCGCGCTCGAATTAGAAATGAGCCAAACACAATTATTATTGGTGTTTTTGTTATTTGTGAGTGTTCCGTTTCTAATTAATTATCGAACATTGAAGGCCGCTCGAAAATGTAAAAAGTTACAGCTGAAAAATTTACGACTGTATGAAATTGATTAGGTATATGTTTTAAAAGCCATGGTTTCACTTGAAAGATTTTCCAGTTATATTTTTAGTAACAAATACGATAACTTTAAATTATGTTTGGCTATAAAACTCGCATGAATATCTTGCAACAAGGCACTTGATACTTCTGTGGAAAATATTGGTTGATTTTGTAAAGAGAAAATATAATCCGTGGGCTTATTCTCAAAACCTCGAATGGAATTGAATCATTTGTTGGAAGCAGTAACAATTATCCTAGTAGCGACAAATGCAACAATATAGAAAATATGTTCCAAACAAAAACCAAGCGCAAATATTCAAAAATTGCTGGAACAAAGAATAACTGATAAAAAAAATCAGCTGCTGTGGAGAGTCGACATTTGCTTATACATCTTTGCTATAGTTGAGACAATTGTCTCTTCTTATCAAACTTTAACAAACTACAATTTTGCAGAAACGGCTACCAGGCCACAAATAATATTTTTTCTTAAACCATTATCCACTTGGAAGTTTTGGATGCACTCGAAAAATTAAAAACTCCACTTCTGTGAATTTTCATGGGTTCAGAGTGCTCAGGAACATAAATTATAAAGGAAGATGGAGAGGCAGTGGAAGTGGATATATTGCTGTTCAATGGCTTATTTTCCCTCTCTTCTGATACTTCATGTATGCTATGCATGTTTGAAATAGTTCCCGGTGCTTGTAAAGTTTATTGTTTCCATAATTTGTAAGTTCTACATTTTCTTCTGGAACTGGCGCTCTATGATTTTGCAAGAAGCTACACTGTTTTTCAACTTCTTGCTTTATAACTCTTATTAGTGATCCTGCGGTTAATATGTTTTGGGTCTGTTCTGTTTCTCTTTTAAACTATGTCCGTCAGTAATTCTTCGAAATACTCTTCCAATTACTGGGAATTATTGTGGTAATAATATCCTTGGCAACAAGAAGTTGTCCTGATATTTTTCAGTACCTATTCTCCAACATTTTGTGTTCCTTTTACCTCCCACATAATAAGTATTATTATATGTACAGTTTCTTTCCCATGACTCGTTTTTTCTGTACCCTTGCTTGTGCTTCTTTATATACATATTTTTCTAGCTCCTGTTTCATTTGAACTTAGGTAGGTACTGTTGCTATTTCTTGCTTTTTTCTGCTATATCTCTATTTCTTCATCCTAGGATTCCCAAGTATCTGTTTTTTCAATTATTTTTTGTATTTGCCTAAAGTATATAGAAGACGCTATAGCTGACAATTCAAATATCTCTCATCTAGACAGGTAAAAGGGAAATATATTAACCGATAGGAAGTGACATCTGCAAACATATCACAGACTTTCATACCCACTTAGTTATAGAGATCTTACAAGACAAATCCCAAGATAAGTAGATGCTATGTGTGCAATGTTGGTTCAGAAGCCATTCCAAAAATATCAAAAATGGAATTTCTTATCAGTGCAGATACTGAAGAGTTTTGATCTAAGGATGAATTTATCCAATACTTAGATCATGAGTATGAGTAGTAACAAGCAGATAATATCTATCGAGGCCAATTGAAGCCAAAAATGTAGAAAACTGCTATATGTATGTCTTGGACACCATCAAAATCGGAGAAGAGAATCAAACAACTGAGATAAAACGCCCAATTAGCTTACTAGGAGAAGTTTTTATCTGATTATCATGTCAATCAATGACAAAAGAATACCAAACTCAAATATTTAATAATATAAAATTTGCATGGGCAATTATAAATTCTGAATCCAATAAAAATAAAACTAAAACAAATATCACACTGAAGGTAGATGAAATGTTTGTTGATAATCCTAACGCCTTGGCTCAGCTCTTTGCTGATCATTTCGATCTGCCTTTTCATCCTCTGACTTTATTGTAATGGTAACTATCCATCAATTTTTCTGGAGCCAGTTGACCCACAGGAGATTTTCAGAATTTTGATGTCGCTCCCTAATATAAGTATTCCTCGGGTCTTGATGGAGTTCCTGTTGTTATGTCGTAAAATTTGTAGCTATCTGTGAGTCTAACGGCCGATTTCATAATCAACCTAAAGTAAACTTTAAATTTAAAGCTTCATTTGAAGTTGAAAAATCCTATCCTAAAAGTCTATTTAGCTAAAGTAACTTTTAATTCTCTATTATGAAATTGGCCGTAAGCCTTTGTCTGATGTTGTTAATGAGTGTTTCTACTCAAGTATTTCCTGATGTTTTTAAAAGGGCTAAAGCGAGGGCGAGGGCTAAAGTCGTTCCGGTGTTTAAGAAGGGAAATAGTCAGGATATTGGAAACTACCGTGAAGTATCAGTTTTGCCAGCTGACTCTAAAGTGTTCGAAAGGGTCATTTATTCAAGAGTGAAGAATCATCAGGGGTCGTATTTTCGAATTCATTCGAGTACATTTCTTATACGAAATTTGATTGACAGCAATGTAAATTAAATGGGGAGTATTCGAAATCGAATCAAATCAAAACCCCTGGTTAGATATAATATTAAGCAAGCAACAATTTGGATTTATTTCTAGAATGTTCACTGATATGGCAATTTTCCATATGCAATATAGTTATTTTCCTAACAAGTGCGCAAAGTGTTACTTTTCCGCACGCAAACACAGTTATACGATGTTTGGATACGTGTTTGCGTGCGGAAAAGACACTTTGCGCACGTGTTAGGAACAAAATTTTTCCTACGAGCTTCATATCAGGTAGGTAACAACAAAAATTTAAAAAAAAAACGATAATTTGTTTAATTATTTTTAATTAACTTGAAGGGAACCTATGCATTTATCAAAAAATTACATAACAAAAAAAAAATATAACAGAAAATCATCGTCAGAGCTCTTCATCTTAAAGCGTTTAATGGCGATTTCCATTTGTCATCAGTGCCGCACTGAGTGCATCCGCATCTTTTTCTAAAAGCATGTAACATGTAAGGATAAGGATACATTTTTTTGCCCTGTTTCGACAAATGGAAAATGCTATAAATTTGATGAGAAAGTTTGTAGATGCATATATATAGAAAACAAATCTGACAATGTGTTGAAGTTAATTAAATTTGGTGTTTGTAGGTATAGATGTTAGCTGGAACAGGAACAGAGGAAAAATTTGTCATCATGTGTCAAAGTCGACAGGTGTACTTATTGTTGCTTGACAATTATTTTTACTTTTCGGCACTCAGTGCGGATAAGGCCTGTATCCGCACTGAGTGCGGAAAAGTGCAACTTTGAGAACCGAAATGCGTGCGGAAAAGTACTACTTTGCGCACGCTCGTAGGAAAAAATATTTAACTGATCAACTGGATAAAAACTCCAAGGTTCGATACGGTTGACCATTCACTGATGCTGTGTATACTGGTTAGAGGTGCTACAGCGGTTTGTGTTGTCAGGGATAGTATTTACTCTTTTTCTGGAATGGCCAGTTAAAGTGCAGTGTTCCATCCTAGGTTCCATGTTGTTTTTGTTGTATGTCAATGGATTGACTGAGCTGAGGGGTTTCCGTCTGAGGTTATCTGTCAGTTCCTGTCAGTTCGCCAATGACAACTCTGTTGTGGTAGCTCGGTATAATAATGGAGACTCATCTAAAAGCTGTTCCGATGCCGCCCTGAGGATGAAAGAGTGGTGTATTGGGAAGAACTTGAGTTTGAACACAAACAAAACGGGTTTAATAGTTTTTTTCCAAAACTCAAAATAACTTGAAATTTCTTCTTGTTCAAATGGATGGAAGGATTGTCGCTCATGGATCATATAAAGTTTCTGGGACTTCATATTGTGTACTGACCCTAACCTGAATTGGGTTCATATGATTTACTTATTTATTTATTTATCCACGACAAAAACCCCATTAACTTTTTATACAGGGTGTTCCGAAACTATTGTGCCAAAAATTGAGGAATGATATATAGATCTCGCCAAAAGAAACGTTTTTTACTTATAAACCCATAGGCGCATGCGCTTTGGTTAGGTGATAATAGCACATTACAGTCCGCACTGTGGTAGCCACCTTGCACACGGAGAAACGTGTTTGAATAAGCAGAACCTGTGTTATTGAATAATACAGAACCCAAAGAATGCTTGCAGTATTTATTTAAAATAATGATTCACATCAAAAGATGCTCAAAACTACGACCACCAGCCTCAATGCATGTGTAACAGCGTTGTAGCAGAAATATCGAGTAGATTTGTGCAGGAAACCCTTCCCTAAATTGTTTCCCTGGTATGCCAGACAAAACATAGAGTACCAACACGACAGACCACCACCACATTACTTGTTAGCCATAAGAGAACATCTCAACGAAACATCTGGAAAGAGAGATTGTTAAGGGGGCATAG